CAATATTAAGTTTAAAAATGCCTCTTAGTGCTGAGGATGTTGCGCGTGGTGTGGCACTTATTGATGATGGACGTTCCATTAGATATGCAGCTAATGCCATCGGAGTTCCATATGAAACTTTACGAGACTCCGTCAGGCGTTTTCGAGAAACTGGTTCTTACAATAAAAGGCCCGGTTCTGGACGGCCTAGGGTAACAGAACCACTGGATGACCGGTTTTTGACTTTGAAAATTTTACGAAACCGGCACCTTACCATTGTTCAAGCGATTCATCAGCTCGAAGGAGTTCGAGGTGTGCAAATTTCTGAACATACCGCTCGGAGAAGATTAAATGAGTATGGATTAATGGCTTTTCGTCCAGTAAGAGGACCAGAGTTGACCAGAACTCACAGAGTAACACGGCTGGCTTTTGCTCGAGAACACAGCCATTGGACTATGGGCGAATGTAATGCTGTACTTTTTACAGATGAGTCAAGATTCGCTCTTCGATCTCCAGACGGGCGTGAAAGGGTGTGGAGAAGAAGAAACGAAAGATATGCAGCCTGTAATTTTTCCCAGAGCCAACCTTTCCAACGAGGTTCCTTAATGGTGTGGGCTGAGATTTTCATGGAGCGCCCCACAGAATTGGTTGTTGTTCGTGGAGGGTCTTTGACGGCCATTCGCTATGTAGATGAGATTTTGGAACCTCATGTATTGCCTATCCTCAACGAAATCGGCGATCGTTTTATTCTAATGCACGATAATGCACGCCCACATGTCGTCCCCATAGTGCAGAAGTTCCTTCAACAGAACAATATTGAAGTTTTAGCCTGGCCAGCACGTTCTTCAGATTTGAATCCCATTGAGCATTTATGGGATAGCCTCGGAAGACGAATAAGAGCGCGTGCAACACTTCCTGATACACTGCAGGACCTTGAAAGGGCTCTTCGGGAGGAATGGGCTATCCTCCAGCAAAGGGACATTTCCCGACTGGTGGAAAGTATGCCGAGGCAAGAAGTAGTGAAGGCAAGAGGAGGAAAGACGCGCTACTAAACGATGATGTAATTAATTTCTTTTAGAATAATAATGGTTCGTTTTGGAATCTTGGAAACATTGGAATCTTGAATCATTTCATTGAATTAAGGATTAAGGGTTATTGTCCTCTATATTAACATTCTTAATTGAAAACAAACAAAAAGATTACCTATTCATTCATTAAAAACAATAGACCAATCCAAAGCAGAAATATTTTTAGATGAAAAAATCAAGTGGGTGGAATTTTTTGCCTGTCAGTGTACATGGTACTCAGTACTCAGAGTAAGATTTGTCCATCTGTCCATACAACCTGCCCTTTCGCCAACTCAAGAATCACAGGATAAAGCAGCTGTATTAAAGAAATGCCGAATGAAATAAAATTCAAATATTACATAATATAAGACAGCTTATAAAATAAATATAAATTTTTTTGGAGGGGGACGACCTCATTGATCGTGGGCGCCAAATGTCTAAATTGTCCTCATAATGCCTGAATTGGGAAAACGTTGGCAGGTTAATCATTCATCTCAGGAGTTGGGTAGCGGAGCGGCCTAACGCGTGCGTAAAACTCGCGTTGCCTGGCAACCAGATAAACAAAAGTTCAATAATAAAATAATTACGAGTGCTGAGGGATCTTTTAAGTCTGGCATTAATCCCCCACCCTCATTATCTGGCTCGGGAAAAAACCCGTATAGCCTAAAAGATAAGGAAATGGTGGGATAAGAAAAAAGAAAAAAAGGTAACCATTAATTTTATTTTTTATAAATCTTTATCTATGACTTATTCATTTCTAATTATTCTGCCATGGTGCGTTATTAATAAATATTGATAAACATGAAAACATGAATCGAAAAATCAATATAATTGTTTGTTTTTTTTAGGCGTCCATATAATGAATATAAAAGAAAATGAATAATAATATATTTATGAATAATAAATAATCCACTCTCGTAAATAAATAATCAAATAGGAATACACTTTAACTCACATATCTATCGTATCTGTTTGATACAACAGAGATTGTGCTATATTAGACGAGGAAACTCGTTTTCAATTATTGAATGCTTGACGATATTACGGAATCTAATGAAATGAAAAATGATTCACAATATCATCATCACTTAACAATCTTAAAACATTTTGTAGTGTTAGTGTTTAAAGATAATTGTTCTGTGTTACCCAGGGAAAAGGACCGTGAGAGCCACTAGTTGAATGAGTCATGCAATGCTCTCTAGAGCCCTTGTCGGTTAGCATGGACCCAACTGAACTGAATCGGAGATTTCAAATTATGAAATTTTTTTAGAGAATGCAAAAACGCGTGAGCAGCAAACACTCCGTCTCTAAAGTCGTATTTCTCCGTTATTTTTGTTTATAATCCAAAAAACTATTTTAATTGTTTACTAACACTTGTCTGAGAAAATTAATTTTTAAAATCAATTGACCAGCAGAATTTTGTTTTCATGTATTGTTAAAGAACATTTAATAATTTGTTTCTAAATGTACTCTATCAACTTGGCACTTTGAAGTCATCCAAAAGGCTTGGAGTAGAAAGAATCCAACATAATATATCCCGGAGTTCGAATAACATTAAAAAAAATATGAGACATATTATGTCGTATATTTTTCGATGCGGTATCACCGAAAAAAAATTGGTTATAATTGGTGATCCAATAACTTTAACCCCTTATTAGTCCAATATATTCCTAAGAATTTGATTCTCGGTGATTTTTGTCACATGCGCCAACCACTGTAATCGAATTCTCTTTATGGCGGCTTATATATATATATACATATATATATATATATATATATATATATATATATATATTTTTTTTTTTTTTTTTTTTCGGTTGGTTGTACCTTGCTGATCTTTAGCCGCCTGAACCAGCCTTCTCCACCTCTGCCTATCTTGGGCTACTGCTTTCCAGTTCGCTGCATGAAGCTATGAAGCTCAGCCGTATCTCTATCTTAACCTCCTTGCCTTCATGTCATGAGATATTGACTGACCAGTTTTATTCAACAGTTCTTTATTGTTCCTTCTCCTCCATGTGTCAAGGTTCTGGTCCCATATAGGTCCTGTTATCCTACGTAGAACTTTTCTTTCAAATCTCTCAATTCTGGCTTCTAATGTGCCAGTTAGAGCCCAGGTTTCACAACCGTACAGCAGAACTGGCTAAATCACTACGTTGTACACCCTTATTTTGAGATTTCTGGAGATTTTTTCTGGATTTCAGTACCTTTGAAAGAGAGAAGAAAGATCTGTTCGCACTTGTTATTCGCTGGTCTATCTCTGTTAGTTGATCATTTATTGAGGTTATTGTGGAGCCGAGGTATTTGAATCTGTCTACTTTCGGGAATGACTTAGAATCCACGCAGATCATGTTATTAGGATGGATGTATTGGCTAACTATCATGTATTTTGTTTTATCTACATTGACCTGTGGTCCGATTTGCTCTGCTTCTTTTAATAGAGTCCGAGCGAGTCTCTCAATATCCTCTTGATTACTTCCGAGGACAGCTATATCATCGGCATATGCTAGGATTTTATGTTTCATTCCAACGTGCACCCCTCCATCTTCGCGTGATGTTATTCTTATTACTTTTTCTAGTGCTAAGTTGAACAGCATCGGCGAGAGTTCATCTCCCTGCCTCAAACCCGTTCGAACTTCAAAGGCTTCAGATACGTCTCCTTGTATTAGTACCCTATATTTAGGATCATTTGTACACGCCTTCGTCAACCTCACTAATTTCCCGGGAACAGCCACCTCAGTCATGATCTTCCAGAGACTGGCTGATCAGCCATAGGCTGATTTGAAGTCGAAAAATAATGCGTGTACATCCTGATCTACTTCCCATCGTTTTTCAAGTACTTGTTTAAGGATGAATATCTGATCTAGCGTACTCCTCCCTCTCCTGAATCCTGTTTGATGGTCACCTATTATGTTTTCATAATATGGATATATCCGATTTAACAGAATATTAGTCATTATTTTATAGGCGACCGGAAGAAGTGTCATGCCTCTATAATTGCCATATTCATACATGGAGCCCTTCTTAAGGATAGGACAGATCAACCCTGTGTTCCATGCTTCTGGTATCAGTTCCTTTTCCCATATCTTCTGGATTAGCATTAACAGCTTGGCTCTGAGTTCTTCTCCCCATCCTTGAACAATTCTGATGGTATGTTGTCTATTTCTGGAGCTTTTCTTCTTTTAAGCCTACCGATAGCTATTTCCACATCCAGAATATCTGGTTTTTCAACCTCAAGTGGGTCGATGTCCTCAGTTTGGTCCATGTCTTCTTCGTTTGTGGGGTGCCCTTGGTTAAGCAGCTGCTGGAAATGTTCCTTCCAGATGCTTAGGATCTTTTCTTTTGATGCCGTCAATTTGCCATCTTTCCCTCGCATTTGTGTATTTCTCGCTTTATATCCTACCCTTTCTTTCCTGATATCTGCGAAGAATTTGCGTATATTTCCAGCCTGCCAGTTTTCCTCAATAGTTTGTCATTTTTCTTTGAGGAATTCTCTTTGGCTGTTCTTATTATTTTGCTTATCTTTTTCCTGGCGGCTGTGTATTTGTCCAGCATAGCTTGATCAGTTTGTAAGCTATTTCTACTCTTTTATGATGTGTATGCCACAATATGGCGTTCTTGAACGAAACGTATAATTTAATTTAAAATTTGAAAAAGAATAATAAAATGGATATGTACACTTTTGTTACTACTCAATGTTAATTAGAGATTAATCAAATACTACTTTTCCAGGAAGTATATACGGAATTTATTATTTGGATTATCTTAGAATTTTATTTTGGTCACTAAAAAAAAAAAATTATAAAATGGATAGGTATGGGCACTTTCGTTACTACTCAATTTTAGTTAGAGATTACGATAAGATATTACTTTTCTCAGGAAACATGTACGAAATTTATTATTGGTATTATCATAGAATTTTATTCTGTGGTTAAGAAAAAAAAAGTAGCATGTTACCTGTCGAATCGAGGAACTCCTCAGGAATTGAAAGAAATGAATAAACTTTCGTTGTGTCCTCCAACATTGCAGAGAGAAAACTGGCATCCTTGATATCATTGAACGACAGAGTCGACTCAGCGTTCTTCAGCAAAAATCTGCCACGATATATCTCCCTCTTGATGGCTCTCTTGGCTCGGTGTACTAATAATAGCATTTTACTTTTGTGGAGGAGTTCACTTTGTGTCTTTTTCATACTGCGGGAAGATTCTCTTAAGAAGGAATACACACTTACAGATTACCATAAAGATTATGCTGACTGATTACTCACTAACTAATAAACTTTTCCATTTTGTATCCTATTTCCATATCGTTGAGGGTCGCACCTTTACTGAACTTACGATATATGTTTTTCATCTCATTCTCCATTTCTTTATCTATTCTGTCGATAACGAAGAGGACGCCGTTCACTTCATCATAACTGAAGTTGCCTCCTTCACTGAACAATCTATAGAACAAACGAACGTATTTATTCACTTATATGTAAACAATATATGTGTGTTGATATCCATACTGGTTACATTTTAAGTAATTAAATAAAGATGGGTTGGGATATTTCAATCTGATACTTTGGCAGTGATATCGATTATCCAAAAGTAGATTTTTATGGTTTTGGGAGGAATGCAACGAAGAACATTCATGTTTTTTTTTTTTTTCATAATTTCTCAAGTGCATAAATAACACTCAAATGGACCTTTTTAGTGGAGTGATCCAAAGTGATATTAATTCACATTAATCAACCAACATTTACACTGTACTTATTTTTAATCTATCAGATTAATGGAAAGAAATTAATTACAGCGTACTCGTAATTTATCACGTCGTTCCTTAACAGTACTTTAAGACTCGACTACTCAAAAATGAATTGTGATATTTTCCGAAACTTTGTTATTAAAGAGCAGTTGGCCCAGCGGTATGTATATATTTTTGTATGCCAAAAGTAATAATAAATTTCGGAAATAACGATGTTCTGTTGTTAATAGGTGACTACTAAATTCTCCAGTTACTACTCCAGTATCAAAATATATCATGGAGATTAGAAAAAAATATATTTTTGATTTAAAAAAATATTATCTAAGAATTATTATTATTATTGTCAATTCTAAAAATTTTGTTGAGAAATAATGATCAGGATATGATTTTTATCACTTATGATCAAAAATGAAAATCGTTCTTAATAAAAATTATCTTAATCTATTATATTATTATAAAAAATGCCAGGTTAAAAATTAGATGAGATTTGATTCTGATTTTTTTAATTATCGATTTAAAACCCTGGTGCTCAACGTCTCGCACTTAGACGTTATTATTACGTAATCTCTTCAGTATATTCAAAGCTTTCTAAATTTTAATCAGCGCGCTTCTTTGAGAAATACGTTACCACCGAAAAATCGACAAAGAATGCAAATTTTCATCTTGCTCTAGCTCCACACCCACTGCTTCTACATTCAAATCGAAAGATGTAACTTATTGTAAATTTTTTCGACATTGAATTTCCGAGTAGTGGCATTAAGCTTTCGAAATGTTTTACGTGTAAACTTAATATGAAGCTTAACTAACAGATGTGAAAAAAAAGGGAAATAATTGTTTAATAAATGTAATGGACTGTATAATAATGAAAAAAAAAACCTAGACTGTTTTTTCCATAATAATATTAATAATTATAAAGAAAAAAATTAAATCAGTTTTACATTTGATTGATAATAAAGTAAAAGAAGAACTCCAAATAAACATAAGTTATAGATAACAATAAAAAAAAACAACAACGATGAAATTTTGAATAAAAGCAATGATATTTATACCTCAACGTAACTGTCACTTAATTAATCAAAAACTAATAATTATTATCAAAGAGAAGGATGGTTGGGGTGATCAGTGAAATTGAAGTGGTAAAAATAAATAATTTTTTAGGACCCTAAGTTCAGGCCTTCATTAAGGCAAACACATTTATAGCGGGAGGGAGGGGAGCTGTAATTATCATAATGTAATAATTATCACCATCATCATAGGTACTACAAGCCGGTCGGTTCTTCGCCGAATCAATACGGCGCACAGTGCTTCAAGTGAATGATCAAAATGGACAAAATTCTGATTTCTATTGATTCTTATCGGGAATTTTACGCTGATTACTAATATACCCCACATCCCTAACCAAAATTGTCGAATAATGAGCTTTCCCCAAAAACAGTTATTTTAAACATAATTTCTAAGTTTCGAGCCAAACAACCGACCCTATCATATAGAATTTCGCCTAATGGCATAATTGCAGATAATAATGTAATTTTGAATCAATTGAACCACAACGTAATCAGTGAGAAAGTTATCAGGAAAAGATTAAAATATGAAATGTACCAGAAAAACAAGTTAGTTTTAAAAACGGCAACTATTGAAATATAATTATAAAAAGGACATTTTTGAAAATGAAACATAAAGTACTCAAATACAGGTTAATAAACAGGATGTTTCAGGGTTAAATGGCCAAACTGAAAATATGAATTAAGGACCTCAAAACAATAAAACCATTCCCTATAAAAGTATGTCCGCAAACGCTTTGTTTAGGAGCTATTCACACCTAATGATTTTCATTGTTATGAATTATTTACGTCATATTAATTAAATAAAACTTATTTATTTGTTCCAACTACTTTATTAATTAAACGTAAACATTAAATTCATATTAAATGTTGTTCAAAGTGATTTCCTCACAGGCTCGGCATCTTTCCAGCAGCAATGGCAGATCGGCAAAGGATATGATGTGTTATTATTTCACAAGATTCAATTATACTTCTTTGTAAGGAATTAAGGTCATTGACCGAAGACTTTTTGTTTAATGTCTTCCCAAATAAAAAAATCCAGTGGTCTAGAGAGCATGCAGACCAAGCCACTGGTCCTTCACGGCCAATCCATTGATTGGGATAATTAACATTTAGCCATTGTCGTGGACCTCTTCCATAATGTGCAGGACAACCATCTAATTAAAGACTCTTTCTCAATTAAAGTGGAATATGTTCAACTAAGTCATAGTAATCATTATTAAGAAATTCCAGAAATGTCGAGGCGGCAAGAAATGCGGACCTATTAAAATATTGTCTATTACCCCCAACCACACTACTATATGATGTGAATGTTAACATGTTAAATGTTTACATTTAATTAATAAAGTAGTTAGAACAAATAAATAGGCTTTATTTATTTCATATAACGTAAATAATTCATAACGACAAAAATCTTTAGGTGTGAATATCTCTAAACAAAGCGTTTGCGGACATATCTTCAGAGGAATTTTTTCCTTGTTTTTAGGTCCTTAGTTCATTTTCGAAATTTGGCCCCTTAATCCTGAAACACCGTTTTACACCGTTTTTAAGAAGAAAGCAATAAATTTTCTTTGGAGGAGGGAGGGAGATGCGTTATCAAACTTAAAGCGTATGGGTATTTCTGAGTTACATTCTGTTATAATCTTTCCGCGGGTAGTATAGTACTTCAATGGTTGTCTGCGGCCAAAGAATTAAATGATATAAAAAGGGTATGTTTCAAGTTTGGAAACACATTAAAATACTTTTTCTTACGATTTTGTAGATATCAAAAAAGAAATATTAATTTTGATATTTACTTGATGTCGCTAAGGAATTGGATGTTGATTTGTTCCATCCATTCAAAACAACTGTCAATATGTTCGAATGCTCTTTGGTTGTCATGATCACATCTCCAACACAGGTCCATAAATTTTTTTTTAGCCTACAAAAATGCATTCATTTAATACTTCGAGATTATTAGCTTCAATAATTACAATAATTACCTATGCATTATATACAATATGCAGGATTCCCCACAAGTAACGATAAATGTTTTTATAGGAGTGATAGCAGATCGCAAGATCTACAAAAAAGTTCACATTGGCAATTGGCCGATTTTCCGAAGAAAAGTAAGAAATTGAAGTTTAGTGTTTTTTTAAGTAAGCCATGTTTTTTTGTGGACTAGGAAGCGATAACTAAAATAATACTGAATTTAAGGAACTTGCTATTACATCATAGTAATCTAGACAAAATTTACTTTAAATAAACGCGGCGTTTCTTATTGGTAAACAAAATTTATAGAAGACTTTTGAGCTGCTAAACTAAGCGAAGTTCTGTTTTTAAAAAAATCGTAAATTATATGAGATTTTTTTTTATCATAAAACAGCTATTCTATAAATACCTCACTTTGATATAAACTTCTCCGTTTAACTAGCTCTCCTCTATATTAATTAAATTGAGGTTAATATGGGAAAAACCTGAGATTCAGCTCAAGGTAGTGTAAAAATCTGGTGCGCGCAACACACAACTTTCACTTACCGCTCACTTTGAATAACAATTATTTTCTCGCCAGGTTGGCCTATTATGAAATTTTTGAATTCCATTTTTAACCGAACTAAAGCTAAAAGCTGACAGCTAACAAATCATAAATACCACGAAAAAACAAAAGTCCTGCTTATTATATCACCGGTCGATAATGGGATTTACGATCCGTTGATTGTTAAACTATTATTTTCTATTGCAAAGCTTGCTAAAATGGAATTAAGAGATTTACATTGCCTGTCATAGACAGGTCAAAAGTTGTCACACTTTTTGGGAGTGGATGCTGTTGGAATACCACAAAGGGAAAATTCATCAAATTATTCCTAATTTAATTTTTCAAAAGGTTACATGATGATTTTTCGGAATAAACGGACGATAGATACCTAATTATTTAAAGATAATATCAAATCTAGAGTTATTCGAGAACCCTAACAAAATATAGTAAATATAGGTAGATAGAAAAAAAAATTATTCTGGGACTAAGTCCCTTTAGAATAACAAAATTGTACAAAAGAATAGAATACTACTGGCCTAAAAGTTTGAAACAATAAATAAAATTGATAAAATTAACTAAAATCTCACTCCTTTCGTGTGCTTATAAGCTGCTCTCTAACATTCTTTTTGAGAGGATCCTCCCGTATTCTGAAAAGGAACTGGGGAAATATCAGGCTGGATTTAGAAGAGGACGCTCAACCACTGATCAACTGTTCTCTCTGAGGATGATCCTGGAAAAGACTATGGAGCGTAAGGTAGTCACCCACCATTTATTCCTGGACTTTAAAGCAGCATACGATAGCGTTGATAGAACGCAACTATACTGTGCCTTGGAGGAGCTAAGCATCCCTCAGAAGCTCGTACGCCTAATCAAGATGACCATGGACAGCTCGAGATGTAGAATACGCGTCGGTTCTGACGACTCCGAAGAGTTTAAAGTGAGCAGTGGGGTTAGGCAAGGGGATGCCCTCGCCTGTCTATTGTTCAACTTGGCAGAGGAGAAAGCTGTAAGAGACTCCGGTATTCAGACCAACGATATAATCTTCAATCGCCTGACACAGCTTCTTGGTTTTGCTGATGATATTGATATAATAGGTAGGTCTGAACGGGCTCTCAGAGAAGTGTTTATAGGCCTTGAAGCAGCTGCAAGACCACTTGGTCTAGAAGTCAACGAGAGGAAAACTAAGTATATGAGAGTTGGTGGTGAGATGGATCTGAACTCTCCATTTGAGGTAGGTTCTTTTAAGTTTGAGAGAGTGAAAAGTTTTATATACCTTGGGTCTGAAATTAATAGCAAAAATGACATGGCTCAAGAAATACAAAGAAGGATCACGGCTGCCAATAGATGTGTCTTTGGACTTGGCCAACACTTAAGAAGTAGGTACCTCTCAAAGAAGACCAAGCTGATCATATACAAGACCCTTGTTCGGCCTGTTTTGACATATGGCTCAGAGGCCTGGACGATGACAAAAAAGGATGAGATGAAGCTGAGTGTGTTTGAGCGAGGAGTCCTCAGAAGGATTTATGGTGCAGTAAAGGAGGGTGATGTCTGGAGGAAAAGAAAAAATAGGGAGCTCAGTTTTCTCTATGCAGACATCGACGTAGTCACGTATATTAAACTGGCCAGACTAAGGTGGGCAGGGCATGTGGCCAGAATGAGCACCGTTGAAATACCAAAAAAAATAATGATGGAGGAGCTGCACCTCGTAAGACGGGTAGGAAGGCCGAGGACGAGATGGTTGGACAACGTGGCCTATGATGCGAGAACCCTGCTTGGTTTACGGAACTGGAGAGCTGCAGCAGAAGACAGAGCCAACTGGCGGAGGCTCTTGGAGGAGGCCCAGCCTCGGTAACGGGATGTTGTGCCACAAAAAAAAAAAAAAAAAAAAAAAAAAAAAAAAAAAAAAAAAAATTAACTAAAAAGTAAACAAAACCTTAGGCGAACAAGCTATATACAATGCAGAAAAAACTATGTACAAAACACTTAAAACTATGAACAAAACATTTAAAACTATGAACAAAACTATATATAATGGTTGAACAACATAAACATATACTTTGAGATATGAAGAATAAGAGATAGAATAAGTTCATTTCATAAAAAAACTTTACTTATATATATATATATATATATATATATATATATATATATATATATATATATATATATATATATATATATATATATAAAAGTTAATTACAATTGAATAAAAAAAGATATTAAAAAAAAAATAGATGTATTGAAATTCCTACGTCGTAAGTAGGAAATGCATGTACTATCTCTTACAAAATATTATCGTATGATTTTATGATTGCTACGCAATACATATATAGTGTTAATAGTTAGCTGGTATCTGACTGTTTTTGGAACAGGAATTGGAATAGGAGGTTTTTGAATGTGCATAAAGAGGGGCATGTTGAATTTTGATCGGGAGGGAATTCCAAAAGTTGACAGAGCGGGCTATAAAGGAGTTTTGGAATGAGGCAGATGTATGAGAAGGAATGTATAGGTCAGAAGGTTGAGATCTTGTGGTGAGGGAATGGATTGAGGACTTAAATTGGAGATTGTAGGCATAAGAAGGACGATGATTGTTAATAATTTGATAAAGGAATGTGCCTAGGAAATATTGTCTTCTTAAGGAGGGGAAGAGCTACGCTAACTCAGTTTAGTGGTGGGAAACAGGGGAGCGTCTCGGGGTCCCAATTACAAATCTTACTAAGCTCTTCATAATTCTTTTCAATCCATCACGGAGTTCCACCGAGAGGCCATCGTACACCACACAGCTGTAGTTAAAGTGGGGAAAGATGAGAGAGGAAACCAGGAGTCTATGGGTATTTTGGGATAGAAGATGGCGGAAGTGATGGAGTAGTTAGAGGGTAGAAATTGCACGACGGGAGATGTGAGAAATATGGTGATTCCAGGAGAGGGTTTGATCTATGAAAAAGCATAAATTTTTAACAAAGGGGTAGAAGGTGATGGGGTGGTCATTGAGGTACAGTGAAGGAAAGTTGGTGTGGGCTTGGAACCAATGAGAATGGCCTGAGTTTTGGCAGCATTTAGCCTTAATCCATTTAAGTTGGCCCAGGCACTAGTTATATCTAAATCTTCTTGTATTTTGGGAAATGCTACCAATAACTCAGCGGGAGAAAAGCATAGATAGATTTGAGAATCGTCGACATTAAGGTGGTGGAAACAATGAATGATTGGATCATTTAGGTCATTAATACAGGAACTGAAAAGAAGAGGAGACATGCTTGAACCTTGGTTGCTTGGGCATGGAAACTGCTTGGGTTCGTTGTGAGCGGAAACACTGTAACCAAGAGATAGAACTATTGGAGAAGGATAATGATTTTAGTTAGTTGAAAAGAATGGAATGGATAATGGAGTCGAAGGATTTGGAGAAATCAAGAAGTATAAGTATAGTTAGTTTTTTGTGTGGATAGATTATTTGAATTGTAGGAGATTGTATGCGTAGGACGGATGATGATTATTGATTATTTGGTAAAGGAATGTGCCTAGGAAATATTGTCTTCAGAAAGAATGGAAGAACCATCCGTACACCACGCAGCCGATGCAGATACTAGGAGTCTACGTGTGGGAATGGATAGGTAGGAGATGGCGGAAGCGATGGAATAGTTTCAAGGTACCAATTGACCGTAGGGAGATGTGAGCAATATGGTGTTTCCAGGAGAGGGTTCGGTCTATAAAAATGCCTAGGTTTTTTATTGAGGAGATGAAGATGATGGGATGGTCATTTAGGTACAGGATAGGAATGATGGTATTGGCTTTGAGAAGGGGTTTGGAACCAATGACAATGGCTTGAGTTTTTGTAGTGTTTAATCTTAATCCATTTAAGTTTGGCCAGGCACTGATCCGATTCAAGTCTTGTTGAATTTTAACAAACGCTTCATGCAACTCTGAGGGATGGAAGGAAAGGTAAATTTGGGAATCATCGGCGTAGAGGTGATGGGAGCAGTGAAGGATTGATCTATGGATGTCGTTGAATAAGAACTAAAAAGGAGAGGAGATATGTTAGAGCCCTGGGCCACTCCTGAGGACAGAGTAAGATAGGAAGACAAGGGTTGGGGAAAGCGACAGCTTCTGAGCGTTGAGGGAGGAAAGATTGAAACCACTGGATAGAACTATTGGAAGAGGATAATGATTTTAATTTGGAAAAGATAGTGGAATGGTTAATGGTATCGAAGGCTTTGGAAAAGTCAAGGAGCATAAGGACAGTTATAGGTAAGCGAAAGTAAAAATGTCTGGTGCGCGCAACACACAACTTTACTTACCGCTATACTTTGAATAGAAATTATTTTTTGACAATGCTGGGCTAAAGAAAATCATTAAGACCATTCTAATTACAAAAAGTCTATTTATTATATTGACGGTAGGCAATATAATAAATAGAAATGGTGTAATATTCAGTTAATTTAAATAATTTTTTATAAATTTTAAATTAATTTGAGTTTAAAAATAAGTCTTATTTGTGATAGTGTTTATTTCTGTTGAAGTTTAAACAGCTCGTCGTGGTCTCGATTTCCTCCCTAAATATCAATTTTGTGTGAACTTTCATGTTCTTGTGTTTGTGTGAACGCATATTTTCATTAGTTAAAAATTTAGTTTACTTTTGTTCTGACTGAAGAAATATATTGGCCTCGGTAACTCCGAACAAACTCAAAGTTGAATTTTTCTTGTGAATTTTTGCTCCATTCATTTTACAAGTGAAAACATACCTATTAAGTATTTAACACTAGTGTTAGTGTGATAGGTCGTATGTAAATATATTTAACTTTTATTCTATTTGTGCTAAAGGTGACATTTCGCAATCTCCAACTGATATAAGTTTGCTACGATGGATAACATCAGAGAGAAATAAAACATGAAATTATACTATTAAATCATAAAGAAATAATTAGTATAAAAACTAATAATAGCATAAAAGCTCTCCTGTAAAATACTCAATTTTTACATACGACCTTTTGCACTAACAGTAGCGATATGCATGTAAAGTATGCACTGAATTTTTTTGATGATTTCGACGTGGATGTGAATTTTCGGAATAAAAAGTTTCAAACTAGAGGACAAGGAGAAAACACAAAGCTGACCACAGCCATTGTAACTGTATATGGTCTACGATTCTTAAATTATATGTTCACTTGCACTGCTTTTAAGAAGAGGAGACCAAAAAAATATGATGGTTGGAAGAGCGGAAAGTATACGCGCCATCAACCTTGGTGATGATGGCACGCCTGCAAAATGATCATTAAAAAATACCTTTTCCAATTGGGCTATAATTCTTGGGAAGCCACCTGGTGAAACTTTTGTGCTTATGTCAGCAACTTCATCAACAACAACGTAGAATTCTTCTATGAGTGGTTGGATTCCCTCAGAAATGTCGAACGCTGACAAATGATTTATTTTTTCTCTTATAGCCTGTAGAAGAAAAATGATTCATATAGTAGCTCACTTAATAAATGTAGAAAATATTACACTTAATAAAAAAAATTCTGGTGTGTCCACTCCCACGACTTTCCTACTTATTTCAGAAAAGTTTTTATTTCTTTACATATGTTCATGAAGAAACAAAAAAGAATTAAATTACATTTATTTTCCTGAAAATTGATTTGACAAACAAAAGATTTGAGTACAATTTATTAGATAAACTAAGGCAATGAAACCGGCTTAAGGTAGATCAGTGTAAAAATTTCGATTCTCACTAATATTACTGATCAAAAACTTTTTGCTATAGTTTAGTATTGTCAAACAATAATTTCTGTTAAAAGTAGAGGAAATAGTGAAGATTGTGTGATGCGGTCTACAGTAAACTCGTAATCTTTCATTGGAAATTGAATACCTGTAACTTCGTTAATAGTTGTCCAAAATAAACGATTTTTATATGGCATTGTATGGAATTTTATTACCTTAGGGAATTTAAAATCTTGGCACAGACAGACAGACCAATGGCTAAAAATGTGTTTTTCGGACTCAGGGAGCTGTGAAAGGTATAGATCCGTCGAAAACCGCATGTCGGAAATTTGACCCGATTGCAATACTTTACTAATACTAGTATAGGTAGGAAAGTAAAAATAGTTTAATGTTTCGATAAAGCTTTCTCAACTATAATGCAATTGCTTAATTAATCAACTCCGGAGGATCTTTGTTTGTTATTGGATTCTTTGCTATCTGGTAATTCATTCATTCATGTATGGCACAACATCCCGTTACCGAGACTGGACCTCCTCCAAGAGCCTCCGCCAGTTGGCTCTGTCTTCTGCTGCAGCTCTCCAGTTCCGCACACCAAGCAGGGTTCTCGCATCATAGGCCACGTTGTCCAACCATCTCGTCCTCGGCCTTCCTACCCGTCTTACGAGGTGCAGCTCCTCCATCATTATTTTTTTTGGTATTTCAAGGGTGCTCATTCTGGCCACATGCCCTGCCCACCTTAGTCTGGCCAGTTTAATATACGTGACTACGTCGATGTCTGCATAAAGAGAACTGAGCTCCCTATTTTTTCTTTTCCTCCAGACATCACCCTCCTTTACTGGACCATAAATCCTTCCGAGGACTCTTCGCTCAAAGACACTCAGCTTCATCTCATCCCTTTTAGTCATCGTCCAAGCCTCTGAGCCATATGTCAAAACAGGCCGAACAAGGGTCTTGTATATGATCAGGTTGGTCTTCTTTGAGAGGTACCTACTTCTTAAGTGTCGGCCAAGTCCAAAGACACATCTATTGGCAGCCGTGATCCTTCTTTGTATTTCTTGAGCCATGTCATTCTTGCTATTAATTTCAGACCCAAGGTATATAAAACTTTTCACTCTCTCAAACTTAAAAGAACCTACCTCAAATGGAGAGTTCAGATCCACTTCACCGCCAACTCTCATATACTTAGTTTTCCTCTCGTTGACTTCTAGACCAAGTGGTCTTGCAGCTGCTTCAAGGCTTATAAACGCTTCTCTGAGAGCCCGTTCAGACCTACCTATTATGTCAATATCATCAGCAAAACCAAGAAGCTGTGTCAAGCGATTGAAGATTATATCTTTGGTCTGAATACCGGAGTCTCTTACAGCTTTCTCCTCTGCCAAATTGAACAATAGACAGGCGAGGGCATCCCCTTGCCTAACCCCACTGCTCACTTTAAACTCTTCGGAGTCGTCAGAACCGACGCGTATTCTGCATCTCGAGCTGTCCATGGTCATCTTGATTAGGCGTACGAGCTTCTGAGGGATGCTTAGCTCCTCCAAGGCACAGTATAGTTGCGTTCTATCAACGCTGTCGTATGCTGCTTTAAAGTCCAGGAATAAATGGTGGGTGACTACCTTACGCTCCATAGTCTTTTCTAGGATCATCCTCAGAGAGAACAGTTGATCAGTCGTTGAGCGTCCTCTTCGAAATCCAGCCTGATATTTCCCCAGTTCCTTTTCAGAATACGGGAGGATCCTCTCAAAAAGAATGTTAGAGAGCAGCTTATAAGCACACGAAAGGAGTGAGATTCCTCGATAGTTAGCGCATTCTGTTTGATCTCCTTTCTTATGTATTGGGCAGATAATGGCTGTTGCCCATTCCGTAGGCATAGCTTCCTTCTCCCAGATGGTCAGCATTAAATCATGCAGAGCTTTCTTGAGTTCTTCACCTCCACATTTCAACAGCTCTGACTGGATTCCGTCCGGGCCTGGCGCCTTTCCATTTTTCAATTTCCTCAGGGCGTTTTCCATTTCCTCCTCATCCGGGGGTTCAATAGAATTCAGGGAGTCTTCCTTCATTACACCTACTTCTCCAGGCACCGTTCCTCTGTTTAATGCGCCTTTGAAATGTTGTACCCATCTCCTTAGTACGTCATCTTTGTGGCTTAAAAGAGTTCCATTTGTGTCTTTGCATGCCGTCACTCTGGGCCTAAAAGCTGCCCTACCCTCGTTTATTCTCTGAAAGAACAGGCGACTTTCATTTTGGCCTCGCAATGCCTCTGTGTCCTCCATGTTCTTATTTTCCCAAGCTCTTCTCTTTCCGCGGAATAATCTCTTCTCTTCGCGTCTTTTTCTTCTATATGTTTCTTGGGAGAGCCTTGTGGGACGCTGAACCTTCTTTCTGTAGGCTTCATTTTTCACTTTTACTGCTTGAAGGCACTCAGCATCAAACCATGGGGGCCTTCTAGATTTAGTCTCGTAGCCAAGAGCTTCTTCTGCTGCCTGTTTCATTGCGTTGCTGCATCTCTTCCACTGTTCATCGACCATAGAGCTGTCATTAATTACTTCTTCATTAAGTTTCGTCTCCACAGCTTGTTGATACGAATATTGGTGGTCTGAGTCCTTAAGTTTAACCACATCAATCTTCTTCTTTGGTCGTTGGTAGTGGTTTTTAATCAGCGAAATTCGTGATCTGACCTCGGCAATGCTCAAATAGTGATCCGTGTCCATATTTGCACCTCTATAAGATCTTGCATTTATCATGTTGGACTTGTGACGGGCACTAATGAGTACATGGTCTATCTGTGATGCTGTTTGCCCATTTGGAGAGATCCATGTTGCTTTGTGGATATTCTTTCGAGGAAAAAGAGTTGTTCCAACAACCAGTCCGTGCAATGTAGCAAAGTTCACCATCCGTAGCCCATTATCATTACTGGTCTCATGCAAGCTGTGGGTTCCTATGGTCGGCATGAGTGCCACCTCCTTACCAACTTGTGCGTTAAAGTCACCAAGAATGATTTTAACATCATTTTTGGGGCAGCTTTCTGTCACGCGTCCAAGTTCTTCATAAAATGCTTCCTTATCCTCCTCAGGTGACACCTCTGTTGGGGAATGGCAGTTGATTAGAGAGAAATTAAAAAATCTGGTAATAGTGACACAAAACTGCAATTTTCGATTCTTTTTATGGTTGCGAATGGTTGTTTTTAATTTTAAATTTACATAGTTTTTTTCCCAATTTTTGATGAAATGTATCTTCCCCAATTTTGCCTGACTTCATACTAAAACAATAACTAATTATGTAATTATACGAAGGAATAAATGATTTATCCATTGTATTCTAAATTAAGGAGCAATTAACATACATTTTTATACTACTAAAATATCTTAATATCCATTGAATTAAATCATTCATATAACATAAATGTAAAATAGTCAGGATTATCAGTCATATTTTTTATTTATTATTTTCAATAATGAACCATATTAATTGTCAAAAAAATCAAAGATTTAACTCCCAAATTTAAGGTATTACTTTTCACGATACGTAGAATTCTAAAATCGAATAGAAATTTTTGTTGAGAGGGTGATGGTTAACTGTAGTGAATAATTGAAGAGAAGGAGGGTTGGGGCGATTAGCCAAAATAAAAAATAGCCAAAATAAATAAGAATATTTATTTTTACATTTCATCAGGACTGATCAAACCAGGGCAGAGATCAATTAGGTACTAAAAACTCGTAAATACCCATTTGTTTTCCAATTGAATCGTAAGATAATTTGAGCACAAAGTCGAGAAAAAAGGTGGCCTTCCAAAATATTGAGCCGTTTGGAGTGACCTACATCCCCAAATTGTCGAAATAGCGAAGTTATATAGGCCAAACGGCCCAATATTTTTGTAGGCCACATTTATTATCGATTTTGTGGTCCAATTATCTTAGAATCTAATTGGAAAGCTATCCATTTTGTGTATGTATTTGCAGCCTCACGCCCACTCAGTACCACGTAGGGAAGCGTCCAAGGGTGGCGGATGTTGGAACGGTCGTTAGGTTCTTCGATGGGCTCGCTGACCAACAATGAGAGAGGTCCTTGACTTGATGGAGGGTGTGATGTAGGATTGAACGCCCTACCTACATATCTCTAGTTCACAAAATACCAGTCATGGATCGTCCTAAGGTAAAACTCTCATTATCCGGAAATAAACTAGCCCTCCGATCGGGTCTCTAGGTATGGATTCATGGCACAAGATGAAAACTAGAGATTTACGGACGTCAAAAGTAAGAAGTTTGAATACAGCAGGTGTGTTAAAATCGGTCGTAAATAAGTGTAATGGGTACAATTTAGAAAACATTGCATTGCAAGAGGTTCCCTAGCCAAGGGATAGATTCATATGGGAAGATAAGTATTTGGCACAGAAGAAGCGGAAATCGTTGATTAGGTACCAGTTTCTAATTAGAGATAGAGTTCTATCTGCTCTGAGGGACATACGATTCTTTAGGGATTAGATTTCGGTGGCTATATTCCAGATGTGTAGGTTTAAAATCGCGTTAATAAACTTACATTATCCGACCAAAGAAAGTGATAGTGAATCCAAATGCAAATTTTATGATAACTACAGCGAAACTGGATGAAAATAATTCTAAGAGAATCCAACTCAAAGGTGGGAGTGGAAACAGTTATATTCCCGACGATCGTTAAAGAAAGCTTACAGGACTGTAGTAGTGATGATGGAATTGTGCTAATAAATTTTGCCT